AAAAGAAGATAACGCGGGGGGGGGGGGGGGGGAACCACACAGCCATTTTGAAAATGAAGGGAAAGTTACTGAAATAGGACTGAAATATAGGAGCACATTAATTAATTAATTAGCGCAAAAGGATGGTAGACTATAACATTATTTTGTCTTTACTATTTATTTCCCTTGTTTCTTTACTACCTTTTCTTTATTTGCTTCATTCAATCTCTCTCTGAAACCGAGACTCCTGCTTCCTATTCCAGAGTTTCTGGGTTAATATCTCGGTCCAGAGACCGGTTAGCGTGATTTTCTTCAAACCCTTCGGATAAACGTTACGACAGTTCCAGAAATTAACACAGATCCACTAGCCTGAACATCCCCTCAAATTCATTATTTCCTATTCCCATAATTCAATAGTAGACATTTAATATTTGAGGTTCTCACACCGGTGGTTATGAAGAATTCTATCCTGTGGGATATAACACCGTGCAGTCCGAACGACGTTTCGGAGGAACATATCGCCTCCATTTTAAGGGTCGAAGAATAAGTTAAGTAAGAAACCAGGGTGAAAGAACGTGGCAAGCAGAGCCTGCAGTTGGAGCCGACATGTTACTCCAAAACGTCGGTTGACTATCAATGGATTACACGGCGTTATGTCCCAGGAGATAGAAATCTTCATCTCTATTCAGTATCACCTAACAACAGCTTCGTTCTCCCTCTTTGTCTTTTACTCATCTTCCACTACTCTCCCTCTTCTTCTCCTCCTCTTTCTGCTCCATCTCATCCTAATTCTTTTTCCCTTCTTGTTATTCTTCAACCCATTTCCCTTCGCGTGTTCTTCCTTCGTCTTCAATAGCCTGAGCCGCAGAACTGCGCATGCGTGGGCTGAAGGCGTTTCATTCTGAAATGAAGAACGAGGTATAACCACTGGGCCATTTTTAATTGGTTGCGCATGTAGACAGGATCTAGTATGAGAAAACGTAAGCAAAGAGTGTCATCAGAATTTACGCCGACGAAGCCGTTTAAATGCTAGTTCAGTCGTTTTCTGTTGTTATCAGGTGGGATTACTTCCAAGTTCCCGTGTTAACTGCTGTCCTTGTGTTTCAACTTTCCATTGATAAGATTTCCTCACTGAAAATTTCGACGAGAGCAGCAGCCAGAGGTAGTTTAAGCCCTAGTGTTGACACGATGGATTTCCATTTTTGTTGAAGATACCTGAACAGCACACAACAGCTACCAAAATGGTAAGTAAACTGTGGCGATGCACAGCTCATTACGTGTTTCCTTGCCGGATTTTATGTAAGACATTTCGTCTCTGATAATATTTGAATTATATCGTGGCCTACAGACCCGTTGCTAAGCGACGATTCTGTAAGCAACCACCGTTTCTGGCAAACGGCTCGGTAAAAAAGTTTCCGCGGCCACGAATATCCATGCAACAACAGAGCTACCGTTGGAAACGGGAGCAGAGATGTTATAAGCAAGGGAAAAAGTTAGCTGTCTGTTCAGTTGAGTTCTACACGGGAGGAATATGAAGAGAGGACTTGAGCCCGTGAAGCTGAATAATCTACACTGTTAGAAACCGTAGCCAGGTAACGGTTGGTGGAGACAAAGCATGCTGGGCAAGATTTAGTGGGTGCTGTGGTGATTTGTGAAGTGTGGTGAATAGCTATGGTGCTGTAATTGCTTGTAGTTCCCAGTCGTGTGTATAAGTGGTCAATAAATCCATTCACCAATCCACATCCCGTCTATAATCACAGCTATTAAGTGATAATATTAGATAACAGTCATGAGTAATTGGCTTTTAATTTTATAGAGGGAAGGGCACATTTATTTAATGACTTTCTCATACATCGAATAAACTTACATCAGAAGGGTTAATAATAGGTTTCTTATAACATTTTAACTTCTCATAGAATAAAGATGGCATTTCGGGCACAAGACATAAATAAAGGTAAAGTTGTCCTTGTGGTTAATTATTCAGGTGCTACGCCATGGAGACGTATGGTGGAGTGGAGGTTTAGCTACGCAGTTCTTAAACTCAGCATTAGATGGAAGTGAGTAGTTTTATGTCCCGGCCTCTTGACCCCACACGAACACTCTCTGGTACCCATTGGAGAGGAGGCTGGGTGGACCCCAGAGCCAATCTGGACGCCGTGAAATACATAAGAAATTTTTTACTCTGTCGTGAATCGAACCCCGGTCCTCCAGCCCAAAGCCCATCGCTATACCGAGCTCTCGCGGCTCCATAAGATTGTTATTTTTATGTGAGTTATACGAGATAAATACAAAGAAAACAAACTCCATGGCCTGTAGTCCGCAAGTCGAGCGACCGCCGCTTGTCGGTGAATTTAGTGATAAATTTTGCGGATAGAGGGTGTCGCGTGGTCAGCGCAACGAATCCCCACGGCCGTTAATTCCGGTTTTCTAGACCGGAGCCGCTATTTCCATAAATATTTCCTCAGTTATCCTCACGAGGCTGAGGGAACCCCGTTCCAGACCCACTACTTCTCAGAAAATCTGGTAGCGCCGGGAATCGAACCGGAACTCTGGCTCTGTAGCCAGGAACTCTGATCACTAGACAATACAGACGGTCATTATAAGAACAAATGACATAAAAATAAAAGTTTTAACCGAAATTAAAGTTGTAATGGCCATGAGTAAGTATACACATATTTTGAGCTGGGATATCTCAGTAAGTTTAGCAATTAAATAGTGGCCGTAATATCAACGAATCAGGATTCGATTCCCTGAGGGAGCAAGCAGTTCTTCTCTTCTCCATAACATCCAGGCCGGTTCTGAGTACGACCTAATCTATTAGTAGGACTGATTAGTACGACCTATCAAATGCTAAGTGTAAAGCGGCTGGAGCGTGAAGATCACTACTAATTCCGTCTAGCGCCAAGGTTATATATAACTTTGGCACTGTATATATTATATGAATTTATTTGTATACATATATTTCCGTCTCAAATGCAGTTTACTGTATTTTCGCAATTCACTCTCACTACGTGTTTCGACCGTACACGACCATCATCAGGTGCACGTATAGTTTTCCAAAACTGTTCCACTGTATGTTAAAGTTACATATTGCGTGTGAATGCGATGTACTGCTTTAATCTGCTGGAGTTAGAACATGGTATGACAGAAGCACAATACATCACTGTAGGTCGCGGTGCCAGGGCCGAGAAGGCCCACCACTTATACATACATGGTATGAGTTGTATCGCCTTCGAATTGTTTTAATGCACAGCTTAACGTCATGCGAACGTGAGTCCGTTTAAAATGCTATGTCAGAATTATCAGTAAGGTAAAAACAGTAAAGCTATCCCTGTAACAGACCGTGGAGGCCCATAGGGTTGTGAGACGTCGAGGCTCCCACATTTTCTAGATAATCTGTTCATAGATGGCGGTGAGGTTGTCAGTCTTTCTCGCCGGCCGGCCGCCCTTTACTCCCAGGAAGATCCCTGGTACTCATTTCTGTTAGAGGCTGAGTTGACCCCAGGTCGAACTGAAGACAGTGATATGAGCGAACTGCAATAACCAATTGACTGTAACGTTAATCCAAGGCCGCGCCATAGCTCAAGAGCTTAGTCGCTGGCTTTCCACCGCGGCGGCCCGAGTTCGATCCCGGGTCTGGTCAAGTGGGATTTGTGGTTGACAAAGTAGCGCTGGGGCAGGTTTTCTCCGAGTACTTCGGTTTCCCCTGCCAATCTTCATTCTATCAATTGCCCCACAATCACCCTCACCTATCATCTGGGGCTGGTACAATAGGCCAGAAGTGGCTGCAGTACAAGGGACTTAGTTCCACCCCACTAGCAATAAAAAACGTTAATCCATTCCATATTGGGTTTTATTTGAAGAATAATTTGTACGTTTCTATATTTCCAAATGAACTAAAATTTAATATGTAAAGAAGGCCTGAATTTACTTTTGCTCAGAAAAATGTTGAAAGATAGTACAGACCAGAAATGCCAGTGCGTCCAAACGCTATGTGTGTTACGTATCATAAAAAGGATTACGGTAATTTTAATAAATATCCTTATATCTGATAAGAAACTGAGATAAAATGGGGACGTTACGGTAATAAATTACTCCAGCCAGAATACGTTGAAATGTGGTATAAAATTATTGTGAAACTTTATCGTCTACTATCTCAACACCTTCTGACACTAAACATCTGTGTAATTGTTACCTGCCTTCACATCTCCACAGAACAAAATCAGCATTGGAAACTGAGTGTTACCGGAACCTCGTAAGCAGTACGAAAAATTCGCGTGATCTTTGTATGACGGTGCTAATTAACAGCTGAGTGAATGGCTTGCAGTATGCACGTCTAATTTCTGTGACACAGGGCATTCTTTCTCTACTGTTCATATCATCGGTGAGTAATAATTCAATTCAATTCAATTCA